AGACCATCTGTCTATGTAAAATATATCTATTTTTGACTTTGAAGACATACCTAGCATGACCACAAATCTGATTTTTAGTTGACTAACAACTAACTGGTATTGCTTAATTATCATAAATAGTTTGTAACAATAAGTTTCAAGGACTAAAAGTTTACACTACACTTTTAAATGAGCTGTATACCTTAAACAAAAGTAGAACATTTATACAATATATCAAAAATAATTTTAAATTTGTATCAATATATAGAAATTTATACCTCTAAAATATTTGAGACTTGTAGTTGCTTTTTTAGTTAGAAAGGAGATTCATTATCTATCCTTTTATCGTATCATTTCAAATGCCCCACTTTTCTCTTTGGAATGTGGTTCCTGAGTCCAATTCCCTTTTATAGTTTCCTTCATGACCATGACCAATAACAACTTGCAATCAACCCTCCTATACAATGACAAACATCCATGAAATGACCATAAACCACCCACTGCACTTCTTGACAATATGAGTGTTGTATTCTCTAGATTGTTTTTTGTTATCTGTGGGTGGTTGCACCTTTAGGGGTTCCTGACAAAATTGGGATAGTGATTAAGTTCTGGGAGGGTTAGCTGAATTTTTTTTGTTTAATCTCTGTGTGATGGGCAAGTGTAGAGTTTTTCTGAAGTCATGGCTGGAATAGTCTGTGAAGCCAGACCATCACATCTAGCAGCCTTGAAATTTTTCCAGATGCAGAATTTTGTGGAAATGGCAACAGAGGCTGGGATATTTGTCTTTATTAGTGTTTGTTACTTTTTTCTCTTTTTACTTTTGAAAACATATAAAATTTAAAGGTCTCTCTCTCTCACACACACACACACATATCTGTTTTAGCACAAGTATGTAGTGTGCAGTGTGAAAAGTCAGTTAAAATTACTTTTTTGTTCTATGTTTGGGCAGGTAAAAGGCATTTGTCAACTTTATAAGTCTTTTTGGACCAAACTGTAAAATAAATATCAACATATGCATGTGATGGCATGTCATGAGGACTCTGTAGCCAAGAAGGTTTATCATCCAGTCTCGGAGTTCTTTCCATGTCAAGGGATCAGCACATATGTCACCTTTTATTCTTTCTTGGCTTCTTCTCTCATATCTTTAAGTAATATCCAATCTTGATTAATTTTGATGGAAACCATAGCTTTTGTTACCTGTAAAAACAAAAGAACAACATCTCTCCCAATGCAACTCATTTCCCACCTTACATTCTGAAGCCAGGACATCTCTAAAGTACATAGACTAATTTAATTCAACAGTCCCTTCCACAATCCAGTATCTCTCTGAAGCTATCATTCTCTGCTCATTAACCACATAAAAATGAAAAATACACAAAGATTCTGGATTGTGTATACTATTGTGTTTTCTTTTAATATTTTGACTGTTAATAAGCTAATTGCAGAGAAACATTTGATTGTGAGGGCTGCTAAGCTAAACCAACCTAAAGGTATCTTGATTACAAAATTTGCATCTAAGGATTTGTTGCTTTGGAAAAGAAGTTCTGTTTTTGTTTCCAAAGATGAGAAGCTGTGGATTCCTTCTAAGCTAATATGGTTTGATCGGTAAGACCCTCTGAGAGGTCACAGATGTGACTGATAACTTAGGTGACTGGTCCAACATACAGAACAACTTCAAAGAAAATGGCTGAGACTATGCAGCCTCATAGACTACTACAGCCAAGATTTAACCATAATTCTAAATTTTCTCAAGATACCATAAGATCACTAACATCCCCAATCAGCAGGAAGTAGCAGAGAAAACTATTCCCAAATTCCCCAAATATTGATTTTAAATGTTTGTTTTCATTTAAAGAGGGTAGGTTATAAATGGTAAATGGTCATAGTCAATCTCCTTCTAAAAAAAAGGGGGAGGGGATATAGTATAGAAATGGTGAAAAATGCAATTATTAAATCTACTTTAATCCAAAAAACAATTGTTAATCTCAAAATGCTTCTTATTGGTATAGATTTTGGTATACTGATACAAGTTTGAGATCAATTTTGTTATACCATACATATATTTTTACTCTTGTTTAAGGTATTATGTTTATTCAGCTCATTTAAAAATGTAATGCATAGTCAAGCATGCAAATTAATAGTTGTTTATAATACAGTCAAGCTTACAGTCATGTTAGTTATGTTTTGTAGATATGCAAAGATATATTTCAGATGGCTAGGTAATCTTCAAATACCTCAAAGAAATGTTTTAATAGCTTAGAATTCTTTGGACATGAGATATCTGCTCATGCAACACTAGTTACTTTAAGAGAATGATGGGCATCAAAGAAGCTCTTTATGGAATTTGCTTTCAAAATGACAAGGTTAGTCATTTGGGCAAGAAAATGTTCTTGCCTGGACTGATTGACAATATTCTGTATAAACTGAATATACAGGACCCACAGAATATTACTGCTGAACTTACCAAAACAAGGTGGGTCATTCCTATTTTAGAAAAAAAGTTTTACAGATATTCTGAAGGACACAAAAGAAAGCAACTGACAAATTTGCCAAAAGAGGTAGGACAGTCCTTCAAATTTCCTGCTTCACCGAGAAATCTACCAGAAACTCCAGACCTATAAGCTGAAGATGGATGTGCCAATGTTATAGAAGAACTTTGAGTGTCTGCCCAGACAGCCAGATATCTCTGCCATTTCTAGAGTTTTGAAAGTTGCTTATAGTGCACTTCCTGGTTATTCAGGTATACTTCTGGGATCTTTGATGGAGTTGAAAACTTGATAGTTATAACTTTTCCTTAGTTGTGATAAAAGATAACTTAGATATTAAACTTTAGACTCACAAAAATAGGATAGATGATAGAGTATTTTCTTTTATTTTGTCAAATACAAAGACATTAAATTTGTAACTAATTTTTGCTTGGTAAAAATTTTGTTTTTTGTAATTTTACAATGTTAAAGATAAAACCTTCCTTGTTAATTGGACAGAAAAGGGGAGATGATATGGCATGCTCTTCTGTATGATGTGAATATGTCTTATTACCATTGATTAATAAAGAAGCAGATTTGACCAATAGCCAGAAAGAATAGAGTCAGGTGAGAAATCCAAGCAAAGAAAAAGGAAAAATGAAGGCAGAGTCAGGGAAATGCCAGCAGCCACTAGAGAAGCAAAATGTGAGGTAAAAAGCCATGGCCATGTAGCAATCCACAGAAAAATAAAAATGGGTTAATTTAAGTAAGCAAGAGCTAGTTAATCATAAGCCTGTGTCAATAGGTCAAACAGTTTGTAACTAATATTGAGCCTCAGATTAGTTATTCAGAAACTGGTGGGTGGAAGAGAACCTCCCATTATAAAAACATTCAATATTAAGGACCAAACTCCCTGTGCTATAATATTTCCTATCCTTAGTGGATTATTCTTTTTGTTTTACTTTTTAAAAGATTTAAATTTATTATTTGTGAACTATTTATTTTCTTTTAGGACTGCCAATATCCTTTCCTTTTTCTTTCTTCAGTACCTAAGCACCTTTTAAAGCATATTGTACCTTTTTATTAGCTTTCTGTGTCTGGACCTGAATATCAGTCTTTCGGCCACGTTCTCTGACTGTGTGAGCCAAGCCTTAAAGGGCCAATCCAAAGGCTGCAAGTTCCACTTACATGGCACCTGTGGCTGGTTCCAACTCACAGGCAGAGGCTGGGAGCCACACCTCTGCGCAGTGCAAACATCAGTCATCCTGAGATGCTATGAGACTAGAAAGCCACATCTGGCCCCTTGTCCGGAACTTTTCTTAACTTTCTCAGGTCCTGTGTTTCAATATTCTAGCTCCATGCTGAGCACCATATGTAGTAGCACTTTCTCATAAGGACCACCAACCTGCACATAATGACTTGGGAACATTATTAATTATAAAATCTCAGCCTTAGCTTAGACTTGTTCCTAACTAATTTTTATAACTTAAATTTATAAAGTTATAAATTTAAACTTTTAAAATCTACGTTGTTCCATATGTCTCATTACCTCATCTCTGTACTGCCCACCCTGTTTTCTCCACATGTGACTGGTGACTCCATTTTTTCCACTCAGAGTTCTCTCTCTGCTTGAAAGTCCCTCTTGTACTTTCTTGTCTAGCTATTGGCTGTTCAGCTTTTTACTACACAAATCACAGCAATACATCTTCACACAGAGTACAAATATTCCACAACAAATCGTGTCTACCCCAGTGCAAGCATATCACTTCAGAGGAACTCTTTATCCATAAAATAACAACCAAAACTTTTGTCTTTATTGCCCATATTATAGAATCCATCTTATGGAATACCATCATACTTGCGGCAGGTCTAGAAAGAACAGTATCTTTGAGGAATCTCATTTGGAGAGAATCTCATGAACCTCCCAACAAGAATTATTGACAGTTAACAGTACAAGCTGAAAGCAAAGGTTTGAAAGCAATATTCTGGTGTTTGAGAGACAGAATATTGAATTTTTGCTTAGTTCTCTTATTTATAGCCTGTACAATTTGTAGACAAATCCTACGACCTTTTGTGGCCACAGTTTTATAAATTGAATCATAGAGTTGCTGTACAGAGATTTCTAAAAATTGTACAAACATATGGTCAAGTGCTGAGTATTCTCGTGGATGCAGTTTTCTTTCGTGGGGGTGGGATACGGGTGGAACTTGATGCAAACTTAAGTTCTATTATACTATAAGATTGGTGGTCCTTAGGAAAGAAAGTTTAGATTCCTAACACACAGCTTCTTTATTGATAACATGGAAATCTCATAACCAACCACCTTCCATAGTCATGTGGGTAAGTGAAAAAATATTGGAAGATGTAAATCTCTTTTTTAAATAAAAGCAGGGTATAAGCACTATGCTCATCACTGTTTTCTCTTTAACCCTTTATTTGTTATTTTCCTAACTATAAATAAAATAATGATTTCAAGTGTGTTGAATACATATTAATTTAAAAAAAAAAACAGTGAAGCAGATGTCGCTGAGGTTTGACCATGCTCTTTTTTCCAAGGGAAGAAGCGATGCTGTCCACCTACTTTGAAACCATCAATGACCTGCTGTCCTCCTTTGGTCCAGTTCGTGACTGCTCAAGGAACAACGGGGGATGCACACGCAACTTCAAGTGTGTGTCTGACCGCCAGGTGGACTCCTCAGGATGTGTGGTGAGTGGTCATTGCCGCATGTACTGAGCCCCTCTGCAAGAGGGGATAGGTGAAAGAGGATCATGGTGCTCAAAGCTCCTGCTTCTGTGTCCTCCAATTACCTGGCTTCTGGAGTTTCCTCTTCTGTGAACTGGGATGATGAAAGTTACATTTTAGAAATTTTAGAAAAAGGAAATGAGACAGTATAAATTAAGTGTCCTTCTTAAGAAGTTTTGGATTCTAGAAGCTTGTAATGCTTCTGATATTAAAACACAACCTGTCTTAGCTCTGTCAACATGGTGCAAGCAAGGGGATGTAAAAAGATGAAAATAGTACTATGATTCTTCTGTGTGGTTTAGAAGATGTGACAGTTGAGACCCAAGATTAGTAATAGACTTTTTGGGAAGTAGTATCAGAAATGGCTTTGCAAGCATGGATCAATTTGGTATTAAGAAAATGGTACAGATGTACAAAACAGGGGGTGAGGGTAAAGGGAAGAGACCTTGTCTTTCATGGGATGCTAGTATCTAATGTGAAATAACAACACAGGAGAAGGTAAGTGAAGATCCATGTTGTTTATTCTGAACTTGATAGTTCATTTTTAAAGAATGACCTACAGTGGTTGTCCAAATTTTAACTTCTGGAGCTACAACTATAGAGGGGTACATGTATCATGAACTACAGGTTTTAACAAGTAGATATGTGTGCATGTATGTATATGTGTACGTGTGTGCTGAAGTGGGTAGAGTCCAGACATACATTTGGAAAGCATTGCAATTGGCAGGCAGGCTCAGCCTGGCATTCAGCGCTCTTCATTTGGCTCCTGCCCAAGCCCTGCACAGTGCTCCTCACTTGACTTCATTCCATGCTAGAGCCAAGTGGACCTGATTCGATGCTATTCTTTGAACACGCTGCTTGTTTAATGCTTCCTGACCTTCACTTATAATCAATTGCTCTGCCAGCCCTTGGATCAAACCAGTGGACATGCTTTCAGATCTTTGTCCCTTTTGAAGGCGTCCTCCTCCCACGGAGCAAGTAGTAGTGATCTTGCTATTGTCTATATCTACCTTTCTTTTTTTCTTACATACATAACCTGGAGTATTTTATAGTGCAGACTGCTGCGGATTTGTCTCAAACAATAATCTGAGTGAGAACTCAGGAGATCTGTTGACTCAACTCAGCATACCACAATATTCATCTTAGTAAGAACAGGAAACAGAAAGGGGCAGGGTCAGTAATGGGAGCCACTGTTCTGAACTGAGTTCTCCAGCGTGAGCCAAGAAAGATGGAATACACTGTTGGCACATCCTTATAGCAGTGGAGAAACAGGCAAAGCTTAAGAGACCAGTAAAAGAAGCTTCTAGAATATGAAAGGATGCAATAAAACTGTATTTTAGATTCAGGAATCAACAGGGCTTTCTTAAGAGGTGGGTGCAGAGTTTAGTCACTTCTGTTTTCAGGACAGTAAGTGACAGAAAGTTGACACAGGGTAGTTCAGGCAAGAAGTAAAACCACATTGCCATAGGTAACGTTCAGGCACACACCTGACTTAGGAGGCTCGAGCCACCGCATTAGAACCGCTGTTCTCTTCCTAGCACTGCTTTTCTCCATATCATACTCCGAGTCCTGTGGGATAAAACGCCCTTCTTACGCACTTGAATGACAGCAATGGAGTGTCTCATGGGACAAATTTGATTCTTACCCCTAGCCCTTCACTGGTCAATCATGGGGTTAAGGAGATGGATAATCTCCAAATGAGTCCCATGGATAATTTCAGTCAGAGGCACCTGGACTTGAAACATGTAGATCAGATAGGTACAGACATAGACGCCCAAGGAAATGTGAGTCCCAGTAACTAGAAGGAGAGCTGTGGGTGTTGTGCTGGCCTGTGTGTTAGCAGTCTGATTTAGAACATGGCAGTCAGCCCCTCAGTCTTCAGCCTGGAAAAGAGAGCCAGTGAGGAAGAGTGAGAGCTGCTCACATTGTAGAGCCAATCAGTGGAATTTTCCAAATTTGTATCTGCAAAGCATGATAGTGGCTTTTATGAAGAGTTTACCGTTATTGCTCTTTCCTCAAATACTTAACTTCCTTCTTCATAAGGACTGATATCCCTGAGGAATAACACTCAAGCTGCAGAAATGGGGTGGACCTCCATGAGTATAGTGTAGTGTGGTGTGCATGTCTGGAAGTAGGATGTCTCTTTCTTGGTCATTACCATAAACTGAAAAAATAAGAGGCGAGAAAGGCATTTTATATAGATTAAGAGAAAATTCAATAATCTGATAAGTTTTCAGAGGATTTTCCTTTATAGTCAGAGGCTACACTTAAAACTCTCTGGTACATCGAATGTGAGGCAAACCGCTGCGTGGAATAGATAAGAAAACACCCCTTTACACTGAGGCTTAAAATCTGTCTCATGCCTCCCCTCCTAAGAAGCTTAATCTGGCATAAAAATAATCACATTTTATTTTGTGTATGTGTGTGTTCATATGTGTGTGCTTACATGAACTGTGAGGGGACAGAAAACCTCTAGTGTCATTACTCAGGCTCACCCACTCTTCATTTTCTTTGGAGAGAGCATCTCCCACTGGCCTGAGCCTAGTAGGCTAGATTGGCTGGACAGCAAACTCCTGATATCTGTCTGTCTTTGACTTTACTACACTGAGATCATAAGCACATGCCAACAATGCATCCCCTCCCCGTTTTTGAAAGTGGCTTCTTGTAGGCAGAGACTGCCCTTTCATTTCCTGGCCTCCCAGACCCAAATAATCACACAGAAACTGTATTAATTACAATACTGTTTGATCAATAGCTTAAGTATATTTCTAGCTAGCTATTACATCTTAAATTAACCCTTTTCTATTAATCTGTGTATTGCCATGTGGTTGTGGCCTACTGGCAAGGTTCCATGCAGCATTTGGCATTTGTCTTCTGCCGTGGTTGTAAGGCTTCTCCTTGCCTACTCATGACTTTGCCTATTCTCTCTTCCGCATTTGCTTAGAATTTCTGTCTTGTCCTATTCTTTGCTGCAATAGGTCCAAATTAGCTTCTTTATTAACTAATGGTATTCAAAGCATACAGATGAGAATCCCACATCAGCTTCTAGGGATCAAACTCCGTTCCTCATACATGCAACATAGGCACTTCAACAACTGAGTGGTTTCCCCAGCCCCATTATACTTTGAATTAAAACAAACAAACAACCCCTTACAACCAATGTGCAACACGGGTTCCCTCATGGATGAATAATTGAGTCTATGGGGGAATAGAATGACTTCCTGAGGTCTTACCTCCAGGTGGCAGGATGGAGGACCAAGACCACAGCTTCATTATTACTTCTAGAGTCAATACCATTTGGAGTTGTCTCCTGCCAAGCTTAGAGGAGTGAGATGGGTTAACCTGAATGAGATGGGTTTCAGTAATAATTTGATCAGTGGCTAGTTGTGGCATCAACAGTGTCCTCTCAGTTTCTTAATGCTTCCAGATGGAACAACAGTTCTTAAACATACAGATTTTCTAGCAAGATGAAAGAACAGCAGAGTGCTAGGAGATAGCTCAGCAGCTAAAGTGTTTGCTGTGTAAGCAACAGGACTAGGGGGCTGGTCCCCAGAAGCCACATTACTGCTGGGTGGGTAAGGCAGCCTACCTGTAATTACTGCGTCAGAAGGCAGACACCTGAGATCCTGGAAGCAAGCTCATTATCAAGACAAGCTGGATCACTAAGCTCTTAGTTTGAAAAAGAAACCTTGTCTCAGTAAGGTTTTAAAAAAAGAGGAACAATAGAAAAAGGTTCCTGATATCAACTTTGGTCTCCCGCATGCATTTGGCCACATGTGCATACATAAATACATCATAAATACGTGCACAATATTATATACTCAAATACATGATTAAAAAAGAAAAATTATATAAACAATTCAATGAACAATGCTTTAAGTTTGTAAAATACCATTTCTGCATGATACAATGCTATATTAACAATGCTTGCACTTAGCATATATGATATTGGAGGGACACAAATATTTGAGCACCTGAATTGGGGAGAACCCTCAATGATGTTTCTGTAATTGGATATCATTTTTGACTGACTATATCCATTGGGAGCAGAAAATGAATTTTAGTCAATTCTGGGTTTTTCCTCCCACTTCTCTTCTTAAAAATCATAAGGAGTCAAGAGGATGTGAGGTGTTACACTGTCACCTCTGGTTGCTACCTGCTACCTCTTCTGAACCTATCCATCTTTCTCTTTCCTTTTGATACATACCCAACCTCTGTGTTCCCACCTGATTCGTGGACATGTGATCTATATGGGTATCAGGTGTTTGGTATTTATCTTCTTACCATGGGATCATATAAGGAAAATGGAGGTGGGAATAATAATTCGCTCACATGAAGGCAGTGAGAATGGAATTGGCTGAGACAAGCAAAGCACTGAGAACCCCAGTCACATTCAGCCTCTGCAAGGATGGTTGCTTGCATATCACTGGCATTTCTCCGTTTGAAGAGTGGATACAATGGCACCCAGCTAAGAGGATAATCTTAAACCTCAGAAGATTCAGTTAATCGAGGTAAGGAGGGCATGGCAGAACAGAGCAGTGAACAGGAGAGCTTGTAGCCAAATGGTTGAGTTCTATGTTAAACAGAGGCTACGGGAAGGGAAGCAAAGCCCAGACCCATGGCTGAAAAGGTTCAGGTTAAAAGACAGAATAAAAATGCTGGGATGAGCCATGGTACTGAGTGAGATTTGTCCCCAGTTTCTTGGAATCTGACAGTAACTGATGAAGATCATCCAGAATAAGGCTTTGGGTTTTTGTTGTTGTTGTTGTTGTTGTTTACTGTTTTCATTTATGTGCTTGTGGGGCTGGGGTTGAGCATATATATATATATGGGTATACACACTTGCAGGTGCCCATGGAGACCAGAAGAGGGCATCTGATTTCCTGGGACTGAAGCTGTCTTATGTGCATGCTAGGAATAGAACCAGGGCCTTTTAAACCACTTACCCATCTCTCTATCTCCAG